ATATATATATATATGTATGTATATATATATCAATAACTGAAATACAAATAAAAACCAAGCAAATTAGAAATTACATGGAATCTCAAGTTATTTATTTACCTTCAGGATATGATTTTTGTCTTTGGTAAGATTTGAAAAGCTTAAGAAAATTCTGGTAACTAAACTTGGCTCCAGGAAATCCTGGAAGAGTTTTTGAAAAATACATCTTGCTGGGCCTCAACTCAAGTATGCTAAATCAGAATCTCTTTGTGCAGAACCCAGGAGTCTCTACTTTTGCCAAGCTCCCAGGTGATTCTTCTGCAGCTAGCTTAGCACCAGGTATTACACCAGGTATTTGAGAGCTACCAGTCCAGGTAACTACTAAAGAGCAAAATGAGAAACCTGAGAGTCACAGTCACACAAAAACTATAGGTCTTGATAAATAGAAATGCTTCGCTATAGTGTTTCAGTGTGGAAAGAGCTGTTTCCTGAAGCCTTTCCTATGAACTTAAAGATGCAGAACAGTGGTCAAGTCTCCTTGAGGGGGAAAAAGCTCAGTTCAACCTAAGCTAGAGTCTTCCCTGTGAGAAGTTGAAGGGTTAGTTTAAGATTAGGCTGGTTTGAATCCAGATTCACAAATCAAGGGAAAAATAATGGTTATAGACCAAGGGTAAATAAAACTGAAAGTACATACATGAGATCTTGTGAACTGACATCCCCCAATTGCCTAGTACTAAAAATATCCTTATGGCAACTTGATGCAGAAATTAATCTTCTTCTGTAGTTTTTTCAAGATGAAGCTGAAAATCTAGGCTGTATAGCTGAAATGACAAAGCACTGAAGAGTTGAATTTTTATTCTGGAGGAAAAAAAATATAACAAAACAGTCTGGGAAAGTGGGGTAGCAAAGGTGCTTTCTATAAAAGTTCAGTAAAAATGAAGGAATGTCAGTTTAAAGAATAAAAAGAAGTGATAGATACAGTTAGAAAGATGAGAATCACCAAATTTGGAATGTTAATGGAAAAAATAAAAATAAAAAATAATAAGCTCTCTTCCTCAAATCTAGCAAATTAAATTAAGGAGCTGACAAAAGAAATGTCTTTCCTATTCAATTTTGGATTATTTAAATAATATAAGCTAAATACATGGGTTGGTCCCTTGGTCTACTGGTTAAGGGAACTGACTTCCACATGGTCAGCTGCACAGATCTCAGCCCAGTGGCATTCAAAACACACTGGGCAGGGGTAAGTTTATGCTCCAGATCCCAATGGGATGGAATATGAAGGAGAAGTAATTGTGGCATGACCTCACCCCATTGGGACACCTCTCCCTCTCTCTATCTCTTTGTCCCTCTCTAGTAAATGAAAGAAAGAAATAAAAATGAAAAGTTCTACAGGCATAAGCATGACAAAAGTCTGGTGCATAGAATTTTCTACGGACCTGTGAATATATACCACCTCTTAGAATTCCACAAATGCATTTTCCTCTTCCTTCAAGGAATGCCAGTCATCAAATCGGGTAAAGTCGATTCTCATTATTTTCATGCACAGGGATATACAATGGCTCCTTTACCTTAGGCACAGGTGCAAGTGGCAACAACTGTTATGCCCAATTAAAGGGCGGCCTAAAGCATCTTGCCAAGAGGGCTAGCTTCAGGTAATGGCATTAGAGTAGGAACTTGGGAAGCCTGAGCTCATTATAAAGCCATCGCTGTGCTTGCTTTTAAATGCCTTCCTGAGAGTGGGCTATGGGATACCAGATCCCGACACTGGGCTCCTCCTTGTTACTAGAATATACACGTGTCCCACGCCACTTTTACCACTCTACTTAAGGGGCTCTTCCCCGTCTCTTTTCTTGACCCTCCACTACTCATTCTTCCATCCTCAGCTGAAAGGTCCCTTCTCTGAGCTGTCATTTCTGCTTCCTTAGGTAATCAGTCTCTATTCTTAGTAAGATATGGTAAACAGTCTCTCTTTTTTCTTACCAGTCATAGCACATGGTAAGCATCTCCCATCACCTGGTAACTATCTGAAGTCCCATTCCCACTGCTGGACAGAGAACAATTTCATTAAATTCACTCGTGTATTCCTAATCCTGAATAAGGGATAGTGGAAGTTCAGTAACTTTCTCAGATAATGTTTATATTTGTGAAGAGGAATGAGTTTCTCTATGGATGATTTTATTTTTTTGAGAGGGTTTTTGTTTTTGTTTGTTTTGTTTTTGTTTTTTGTTTTTTGTTTTTTATTTTTTGTTTTTTGTTTGTTTGTTTTTTGCTATAGGGCGTGTGCGCTCACCAGAAAGACAGAGAGAGACAGAAAGACAGAAAATGAGAAATCACCCCCTACGGGGTATGGCCACACCACAATCTCTTCTCCATTCTCCTCTCGGGATCTTGGAAATGCACACACACACATCTGGTGTGAGTTTAAGCCACCAGGTCCAGGACTTGAACCACAGTCGACTACATGGGAGTCCACCGACAGCCATTATGCCAACTGCTGATCCACTCTATGAATGATTTTAGCTAAGGACTCTGGGATAAGGTGGGCAGTGCTGTAGTAAAATATTTATCTAGGAGAAAGGATGATGAAAGGCTCCGTGGTGAGAGCTGAATCACTCATGTTTAAGAATCTGTAAGCTTCTAAAAACTCAAAATTTCTACAGGCACACTATTTTATTTTTATTTTTTAATTTTTAATTTTTATTTTTATTTACATTTTAAAAATACATTTAATCACATTATTTAGCTTACAAGGTGGTCATTTCAATATATGAATACTTCTCCCTGGTCGAGGTGATCAAAATACTACTGTTAGGGCTTTAGGTACCTTAGTGATTAGGAATGTTTAGCTGAGCAAAAGGGAGGAGGAAGATACCTTAGAAACCTATAGTTATCTTCTGATGTTTAAAGGACTAAGATACAGAAAGAAAACCAAATTTATGCCAGATAGTTCCAGTGATGAGATAAGGCTAACTGTTGGAAAATTCTAGTATAAGATTTCAGTTATCTTCTAAGAAGCCATTAAGCAAACACTTATTGGGCACCTAATGAGTAAGTTTTAATACAAGGAAGAAGTGATAAAAGAAGTGTCTACAAATGAAATTACCAAAAAACAAAAAAAGTTTTTTGACCCAGGGGAACTTTGAAAAGAAACCAATAATTACTTATTATTCATCCATTCATTCATTAAATATTTATTGAGTATCTTCCATCTACCAAGTGTTGTCCTAAGAATATGGTTAATGCATAAGCTAGCATCCTTACACTGCCAGCACCTTTACTGGGGGGTGACAATATAAGACACATGCTTCTAGGAGGTATCTAACCAATATCTGTGTCTTCAAATAGCAGTGTTTTGTCTTGTTTTGTGTTCTCCAATTGACTTATTTAGTTGACTAAGTTTAAAAAATAACACCCAGCAGAGTTACCCATGGCTGCAGCAAGTGCTATAGACAAAAACCATAAGGAGAGAAAGCCAAGAAAGAAGTAAAATCAGATGCAGAGTTGCAGCAACTGTCTTCTAAATGTCACATAAATGTACGTTTAGCTCATGTTTATTTTTACATACTTTACCAGAAAATAGCAACTGCAACGTCTCTTTCCTGATGGTAGCTTCAGGCAAGGAGGAGGCATAAAGTGAGAAAGATGCACAATAAACAAACAAGCAACAAGCCCTTTCCACACAATGCAGATCTCAAAACTTTCACTTCAGTTCGCAGTTGTAACAGCCTAAAAGACTTGCAGCATGCTCTGGGTGGATGTGAATGCTTTCCCTGAATATCAAATGTGAGCTGGGACAAATTTGTCTCCACTTAACTAAGAAAATAAAGTTTTGTTCCCAACCTAAAAATATATTTTTTTGTACTCTATTCATTAGAAAGTCTTCCATGATAGAAAAGTCTTTGTTTCCACCCCATTGATTTGGCTTAATTAGTTACTGATTACTTACAACTGATTTCATCAAGTTGTAAGAAATATTTTATCCCCTCTTAACAAATAAAATTGAAGCTTACGGGACAAGAGGATCGCTATGCCTCAGCTGAGTCCAGCTATCAGGCATCCCTCACAAATTTTCATTCTAGATTATTCCTTTGAACAGTCAAGACTTGTAAATGTTATTTGACGGCTTCTCTTGATGTCTCAAAGGCATGTCAAACTCAAAACGTAAAAGGCTAATCACACAATGCGTATTTCCACTCAAAAGGTCCCAGAAGAGTACTTCCAGTTCAGTGAGTAAGACACCAGCCTTCCATCTCTAGAAAACCAGGGGGCATCCTTGTATCTTCATAAGCGCAACTCCTCCATCCAGGCTGCCATTGATCCTAGTAATTTTGCCTCCTCACTCTCTTAAATCTATCCACTTGGATCCTCCTCTACCATGATTAATGCCATCAGTCCTAGGGGATGTCTCAATTCCATTCTTATTTATATGAATCCAACCTCCCTACTGCAGCAAAACAATCTTTTCAAAATTAAAAAAAAAGGATCACATTGCTCCTCCATCGAAGCATTTTAATGAGTACATTTTGCTCTTAGTAGCAAATAGGCACATGGAGAATGATCTCCAAATGAGGATCAGAATGTTAACAATGCCCTTGGTCTGGGTCTTTCACCACCATCTGTGCTCTATAGTCCTACCACTCTTGCTTTTTTCCCAGTGTTTACAATGAGGTGCTTTCCTTCTTGCCGCAGTGCCATTGCACATGCTGGTTCCTCCATCTGGAAAGCTAACTCTTCCACTCTCAATTTTCTTATCCTTTTAAAGCCTTTCTGTCTTACTTTTTTATTATCTATCCTTTATTTAAGAGAATTCTTGGGAACCAGCAGCTAGCATAATGGCTATGTCGCTGGACTCCCATGTAGTCGACCACGGTTCGAGTCCCAGACCCGGTGGCTTAAAACTCACGTCGAGCACGTGTGCGTGCGTGCCCAAGATCCCGAGAGGAGAATGGAGGAGAAGGGATTGTGGCGTGGCCATCCCCCTGGGGGGTGATTTATCTCTTTCTGTCTCTATGTCTCTGTCTGTCTGGCGAGTGCACGCGCCCTATAGCGAATAAACCTCTCCAAAAAAAAAGAGAAGTCTTCTCTGACTTCTACAGACTGGATCAAACATCCCTCCCACAGACTTCAAACACCTGATGCACCTGTCCACCATAGTTCTTACTACAGCTGTGATAATGTAATACTGTGTTATTTGAGGGATGATTCTGGGTTACTACCTCCCAGAGGGCAGGGCTCAAGTAAGTTTTTGGTTGCCCTTATATCACTAGGCTCCAGTATCCTTTCTGGGTATGAATATTGGCTGAATAAATGAATGTGTAAAAATGATATTCAAGATATGAATAATACTCTGAATAGTAAAAGGGTACTATAAGGAAGGGCATTCAAAATGATACTAGTAATTTTCCACATCAGAATCAGTACAGCTCTTTCTATATATATATATAAATGACAGGAGCAGTGCTCACAGAGTCTGAGCATGTGGTTTCACATTGGTGCTTCCTCTTGGAAACTCAGTGAGCTTGGACAAGGGCATTTAAGTGCCTGGGTATCAGTTTCTCATCAATTAAGCCAGAGAGACCCACTTAATAGGGTAATGTGAGAATTGCTTGATATATGTTTAAAAAGACTTTGAGGACTGTTAACCCCAGTAAATTTGGATTAAGAAGTTGAAGGTTTCTAGAAGCCTGAAGGAAACTAGGAAAGATGGTGAGTGCAGCTTTGCTTCCCTCTCAAAAAAAGTAAGTGAATTATGAGACCAGCAGTTAGTGTAATGGCTATGTCACTGGACTCCCACATAGTCGACCACGGTTTGAGTCCCGGACCCAGTGGCTTAAACTCATGCTGGGCACGTGTGCGTGCGTGCCCAAGATCCCAAGAGGAGAATGGAGGAGAAGGAATTGTGGCATGGCCTTCCCTTCTGGGGGTTGATTTCTTGCTTCCTGTCTCTCTGTCTCTGTCTGTCTGGCGAGCGCATGCACCTATAGCAAAAACCTCTCCAAAAAAAAAAAGTGAATTGTTTTTCTAGTTTTATCAAAGTATAGCCACACTCACTTATGTTTTTTCTATAGTTACTTTTGTTCTACAACAGAGTTGGGTAGTTGTGACAGAGACTATGAAGCCCACACACCTAAAATATTTACTATCTGGTCCTTTACAGATAAACTTTTTTAACTCCATCTCTGAAATATTGTTATTACTATCTCAGTGCCCAGCTTTGCAGTCCACACTCAGTTATGTAAGCCAAAAATGAGAGTGGACCTTTCTTCTGCCTCATCCCCAATATCTGATTCCTCCTACCTGTTACCCGAGGCCTCTGTGTGTTTGTTTTATACCCACAACCTTTAACTCCATGTAGTTCTTTCTGTTTTCAGGTCTTGTCCCATAAGGAATCATGTCTTACTCTACTCCTTCATGAGATAGGAAGAACAGGGATTGTCATCTCCGTCTAAGCACTCCTTCCAGCAGGAAGATGCAGTTACTGCAAACATAAAAGTATTTGTTTTGATTCCCTTCCTCTCACCTTCTTCCACCTTCTACTTTTCTCTCACACTGTCTCTAGTAGAAGTATTCATATGTGTTGGACAAAAGATCATTTTATTTATTAGAATTGCTTAATTTCTGTATGCCTCTTCATAAAGAGGGAAAGTCAAAGTACCTGCATCATAGAGATGTGAGATACAATTTAAAAATATATATACAATATTTCCCCCACTTCCTGGCCCATAGTAATTATTAACTATTACTGTTATGATTATCCATCTTAACTAAGAAAATGCTGAAATGCATGATTTAATTAAATTTATGTAAATATTTATTTTTAAGTAAATAATGTAGGTAATAAGTTCTGAAATACCTTCAAGAAGTGCTATAAGTTTTTAAAAATTATTCTACTTAGCTTTATTTATTTATTTTATTTGATCAGAGAGGGACAGAGCAAGAGAGCAAGAGAAAGGAAAGTGAGAAAGCAAGACACCAGGTCCAGGACTTGAACCATGGTTGGCCATGTGGGAGTCCAGCATCCCTAACCACCATGCCATCTGCTGGCTCCAGAGTGCTATAATTTTTTAAAATTTATTTCTGAAGAAGAGAATCTGAAATAATCCCATTTGTACAGTAATATGATACAACAAATATGTGAGAGGAGCAAAAATAATTTCAGAAAAATCCCTCTACAGTAACAATTTACACTAAAAGATATATGCAATCATTCATTCCCTTTGCTTTCACAATTGTGAAGCTTAAACACACATTTGTCTTCAACTTATAAAAAAATTGTAACAAACTCATATTCTAGCATTATTTTCATTTCTTTGCTCCAATCCTCCATATATAAGTCTATACATTGGACTTAATATATACTGTATATTCCTATAAAAGATTTCTAATCCTCTTTCAGCAGAAGCAGCAGGGTAAGCTAATTAATTTTTACTCTACAAACGCATGGGAGTGATAGTAACCCTTGCTTTCTTTACTGATCAGATATCTGCCCGATGGATGATGGTGACAGCTGTACACTTTGAAAGGACTAATACCACTGAATGTACACTTAAAAGTGGCTGAACTGGTAAATTTTACATTGTTTATACTTTAGTAGAATGTTTTTAGAAAGATGTCTTCCCAAAATTCTGTCTTAATTAAAAGATGTTTTGACCATAAAAACCCACCCAGATACACAAAGTCTAAATTAATGGGTTTCTTTATACATGTTGGGCACTTGTTTGATCTGTTATAGAGCACCTCACATTTGAGTTCTGTCCTCCTGTGTTTGACCCTTCTCTGGATTATGGTTTCTTGAGGGCAGGAACCTATCAATCATCTCTTGTCCCTCTTCCATTGCTGACTACACAACCGCTTTTTAATTATTTGTTGAAAAAGAGCAGAACAGAATGGAAGAGGACTATAGGGATAGTTAGCATGTGTTCTGGTGTCACTGGGGTGCTTCAGAAAAAAAGAAGATATGCTGATTCCCATTAGATGGTACTCAGAAGATACTCCAAACACCTACTCCCCCTTACATGTTGCTTTTAGATGACAAATGATATATGAGGTCATATATGAGTAACCTTCTTCTCAACAAAAAACATACTTGAGCTCTTAGAAACAGTCCACACCAAAGATTCTCATCATTTTAAGAGACTCTACTAAATTACCAACAGGTACCTGGGAGCCAATACCACCATGCCAAGCAGACCAGAAGGTGACTATGACAATGTAGATGTTACAGGCTGTTAAAGGGGCATCACAGCTCAATTCCAGCTACTTGGCATTCTAGATGTAGGCCTGATGTTTCCAGAATTTCTAGTTCTTTCAGCTGGAAATTGGCTAAAGACCTTTAAAACAATCTTAAAGACCAAATAAAACCCATCTTTGGGAAATTTGTGACCTGTTTCTGACCCTTCACATACTACCACAAATACTTTCTAGAACATCTATTTTACAAAGTCCTGGAAACGTGCCCTTTTGAATGAGAAGAATTATGAGTGTCTAGTGCAAATGACTATTTTATTGGATTAAATGAGTTAACACATAAAAGTGCTTAGCAAAGTACAGGTTCCTGTATGGATAAATACTGATTTCCTCTTTTCCTTTTCTCTTTCTTGCCCTTTTTAATTGGGAAAAGGAATTATTTAATTCAATAGAAAAGCATATAAAAGAGAAAGGATTCATTATTTTTAATAAAATATGGTATTTGGTTATGCCAAACTCCACACCAGCCAAGCCAGTATATACCACAAGTGCAATCCTTCAATGGAGTGTATCTCTGTTTAAACCCAGACAAGGCTGACTTATAACTGTAACTTTTTAAGTAAAAATTCTATTTCAAAATAGACTTAAGGATGCTTGCAAACAGACTTTTTCTTCTTTGCTGGTTTAAAACATTCTCTCATATTTTATTGGTATTGGGACATCAGAAAAGTCAGGATGCATTCTTACATAGAAAAACAGAAAAAAATGATGACTTTTCCAATGACCCAATAGTATCAACTTATCGTACTGTTTGAATCAGTTGTGAACCAATTTGAATCAGATTTGAACCTGTTTTTTTCTGAATTATGAATTGTGCATCCAGTTCTCTATATTGGGTTGTCAGAAAGTCATGCCATACTTTTTCTATGGAAAGATGCATCATATTCTTTCCAACAACCCAACAGTTTCATGGTATTTCTGTCATTCTCTAAAGTAGCAACAAACTCATATTCGCCAAACCAATTCTTTCCCAAATCATTGACAAGTCTACTGTAAGCCATCAATCATGGCCTATGTGGACAGCATTACCTAAGAGTGATGCCTGTAGAGTTAGAGCGTATTTCTCAAGAACTGATAAAATATGGGCAAGCTACATAAACATTCAGTAGCTCATCTGTGAAATGGGATGATTGCACTAACTCTTGCAAGCTTATGTAAGCTAATTTCACAAGGTGATTGTGAAGGCCAAATAAGATAAAATTCGCAAAGTTATGAAAACTGGAAAAGATTAGACTCACACATATCATGTGTGGAAGAGAGGGTGAGTATTTAGGATGTAGGCCTCAATTTAGCTTTATGGTGGTGGTGTCTTGATACGAGGATGAAACTCACTATTTGTTTTATCTTTATTTCCCTTTATTAGCTTCTCCAGGTTCGGCCCTATAGCTTCATCACTTACTTCTGCAGAACATACATAATCAAAACAATAATGACTAATGCTGATTGAGCATTTCTTATGCTTTAGCCACAAAGCTAAGCACTGGACATCAATTCAAGTTGTTAATAATTAGAACTGCTCTGTAAGGTAGATATAATAATCCTCAATTTAAAAATGAAGAAACTACAAATTAGCAATACATGGGATCTTGACTGGGGTCATTCACTAATACATGATGGACACAGGACTCTAATCCTGGCAACACCAAAGCGAGGCCAGATCTATGAACAGCAGCATGGAATTGCATTCATAGGAAGACGGTTTTCCGTGTTACTGAGATAAATGCTTCAAATACCAATATTAATGGGAGGGACCCTACTTTTTCCCAACCATTCCTGAGTATGGTCTATGCCATGAATATTGCATCATAATCTTTTGCCCCCTTTCTTTTCTTGGTAGAGGGACCTGGGAGCTAAAGTAGTCTAACCATCTAACTCTTCATATTGGATATCAAACTATTTGGCTATCATATATGTCTACAATGCCTTCAAAGGGTGCAGAAACCTCCCTACATGAAATAGTCACATATCATTAAGTTACAGCCCATTTTATTCTAAACATCTTTTATTTATTATTGTATCATGATTTTCTTTCTTTCTCACACTTTTAAATTACCGGCCATCACACTGATCACGAAAAATGTGTTTTTCAATAAACACCCATTTCATACCTTATGCTGTGCTGCTTATAATTTGCTATGAAATTAAAAACAAAGAGAGAAAAGAACAGGTAAATCTCTAAGACTGAGTATCAAATAGGAGTAAATAAATTCTGAGCAAGGATGTAAGAAGAACTCTTATGGGTGTTAACACAAGTAAGATGTTGACAATAGTTGACCTCCATTTTGGCTTCCCTGGCGGGTATCAGTTGTATCCTGTATAAATGAGTTTGTCTATGAAGCTTATACTATATAAGTGAAGAACTGAATGCTTTTAGAGACACACATCCCATAAGAAAGCATAAGTCATATATCTAAATAAATCTACTCCTTCTCTATGTTCCCTGAAGCAACCCTAAGAGCTAGCCACTCCACCTGCTCTCCTCACATCACTCTCCCCTGTCTTTTTTATAAGAATAGTCAAATCATCCTTTACCCTTTTACTTCAGCTGTCATTTTCCAGCTGGAAAGCAGCAAATTTGATCATTCGTACAGAAACAGCGTCTGTTGCTAACCCCTCAAGCTGGTGTACTTGTTTCATTTCTTGCAGCCAAACATTCAGGAACATGTGTTTATATGTATATCTTTCCCTTTATATTAGTAATAAGTGGGTCATTAAGGGCTATATAATGAGAGAATGCAGTTTTCTGGCCTGATAAGTCCCTGAGCTTCATTACCAAATTCATCTTACATGTCAGCCATTAAATAGCATGGCATTTTCCTCTCTCATCCATGCAATATCATTTAATTTCATCTAAATGGAGTTTTCTCTATGGCCATAATCATCATCATCTTCATTGCCACCACCATCAAGAAGCATTTATTACCTGCTGCAATGCATATGGTGCTATATCCAGTATGGTTCTACACAACTCTGCTGTCATGGTCCTCATCCAGGGGAGGTCACAAAGTACAAAGGAATTATTGAGAATAGTGAGATTTGAATTCAAGTCCAATCCTCATGACCACAAAGATGAGTAAGTCAGAAAATCACATATTCCTTTTTTTGGGGCCATGCCTCATCCAAAAATAAGACAGATATGTTACATTATCTCTGAGATCCTGTCACACCGTCATTCTGAGTGCTCTTCCAGTTTCACTGCAGCCATTTGAAGTGGGAAGAAGATTGTGAGAGGAGAGAAATGGTCTAGAACTTTAAACAGCTGACTATGTCCAGAGAAGTTATTAACATCTGAATCCTAGATTAAAACTGCTTATGCTTATGTTCTTATTTTCTCTGCATTCCCAATACCTTCTGCCATACTTGTTCCACTGTCTGTTTCCAACTTTGGCTTCCTTCTTGTTTTATCTGACTCCCAGCCTTCTTTCTTATCTATAATAGATGACAGCCCACACAGGCCCTAAATTTCGGTTCTTTCACTTCTCCCAGCCACTCATAGGAGCTGTGTCTCAATTAGAATATTAGTCTTGAAAGGTTCTAATAGGGAGCCACAAAGGACCCTGGGTCTCTGTTCTGGAGTCTATGTCTGATTCCCTTGAAAGAACATTGCCATAAAGGTCCCAAGGTTTGTTCATCCAGTTGGGTCACCAATAAGTGTTCTCAAGGATTGAGGACTAGGGCTCATCATATAGGAGATTACCCTGGGCAAAGAAGTAGAGGAAATAGGAGGAAGAACACGAAATGATTTTGAGAATAAAGGACGATACTAAAGAAACACAGACAAGTCGAGATGGTGCTCGTGGAGACATGAATGAAAGCAATTGCCCCCTAAAGCATGCCTGGACTGGATAGATGTAGGGACACAGAAGAGGCTGCTCCTTCTGCCCACAGGAGAGAGGAGGAGCAAGGACTTAATGGGATCCAGAGTGGAGTTCTATGGTTTATGTCCCAAATTGTATCCAGAGGCCAGGAGAACCATCACATCTATCCTTGCCTATATATAAATTAGAAAGAGTCAAAAGGTATAAAAGCAGATAGATAGGTCTAATATGTAAATAGTAATTAAATAATCATTTGCATTGGTTGTTCATGACTGTGCTCAATGCTCGGCATATATAGCTTACTCCCAGAATCTTCTCAATTACCTTTTTGTGGTGATGATGGAAAAATGCACATAACTTATGTAACACTTTAAACATCTTTATATATACAAGGTTATGACATTATGTACATTTACAATGAATGCAACCATCTCTACTATTTCCAGAACTTTTTTTTACCATCCCAAACAGAAGCTATGTACCCACTAAACAGTAACTC